CGTTATAAACCGGTATGAATCCCTACATTATGCTCAAGTTTTAAAGTTGTTATGGAGACACTCAGAAGTATCACCACATTCATATGGAATAACAATGAAGTCACCCATGCACCGTGAATGAAATTTGCAATGCTTTGTATTTAAATTTTCACAGTACTAAAGTTGTTCCAGTATTTTTCTGCATGGTTCTAAATTTGGTCTAAACGGCGCATAATAGCAAATCGTTTTTAGCCAAAAATGATTTTCTTAAAATACAAATCTTTTTAAACGATTTTAAATCAGTTTCAATGAATCAAATTAGTCTATAGATCTGTTAAACTAATCAATTATGTTAGTATAAATTCACAAATTTTTCTAAATTCTTTTGTTTTATATACATAATTTTGATAATTCATCAAAAAAATTATAATTACAACCAAAAACTAAATTATCTTATATGATGTAAATTAATTATATATAAAATAAATTAATAATTCGTTAACACTTGAACCATNAAATTAGTCTATAGATCTGTTAAACTAATCAATTATGTTAGTATAAATTCACAAATTTTTCTAAATTCTTTTGTTTTATATACATAATTTTGATAATTCATCAAAAAAATTATAATTACAACCAAAAACTAAATTATCTTATATGATGTAAATTAATTATATATAAAATAAATTAATAATTCGTTAACACTTGAACCATCTCCCCGAATAATTTACCTAGGCGCTAGTCTTCCTTCCACATAACGATTAGTTACTACCTATCTGATTAAATAAAATTTAATATCGTAAACACTAGCTCTCCCAAGAAACCAGAATAGATATTTTGGTGATTACCAAAAAAAAAAAAAAAAAAAAACCATAACTATCATCGAAGGTATATATTCGACTGAGAAACAAGTAGACTTGATAAATCTTTTATAACAAAATTATATTTACAATAGCTAAATACTTTACAGCTGATAAAAGATTTCTTGTTGAAATAATATTGTACTTTTTACATTATTGTAAATAAAAGTTGAAACTGGAGGGATTATTTTTATAGCTCACCACTAGCTCCTTTAAAAGGAGAAGCAACATGGGGGCTATAATCAACTCCAAAAGATGCTAGATCAATAGATTGTCCTTTTTTCTCAGAGACCGTCTTAACAAGTAGACCGATAGCTCGAGCCCATTTCACCATACCCCCGATCACTTCCTTTCTTTCTTCAAAGGTTATCTCCTCTGAACCATTCTTCTTGATCTCACTCATAACTTTTCCCATTGACAACATTCCTTCAATCATCCTCCAAGAATCCATCTAGCGCCAAAAAGAAAACACAAAAATATTTTACTATAAAACCGCGAGGAACATGTCCGCAAATAACATATGAATGTTAATATATCAGACTAGAACTTACTGATGTTCCCCCGTTAGTACCATCCAATACAGAAATAGCCCTAAAGAGTTTCTCGGATTTTACCGACATCTCGACCTTGATGTCTTTTGTCCCGGATGATGCTGACTTGAAGCATGCCATGTAGTCAGCTACCTTTACAAAGAGATTTTTGAACTCTTCTGTGGCAGGACACTTTCTCTCCAAAGCCTCCAAGAAAGCCGACATACCTTTGTAAGCAAAAGGCTCAATGTCTTTGCTCATTTTTGGAATATCTTTCAAGTAGTGGGGCAATGAGAACGTTCCTTGTGTTTCATAGAGAGCTCTCCCGGATGGAGAAGAGACATTTGTGTCATAGTCAATTCCAAATGATGATAAATCAATAGATTGTCCTTTATTCTCAGAGACCTTCTTTATGAATAGACCGATTCCTCGAGTCCAGTTCACCATTGATTGAATAAGTTCTTTTCTTTGTTCAAAAGTAATCTCTTTAGAACCGCTCTTCTTCATCTCAACCAAACTCTTTCCCATTGACAGTAAGCCATCCACCAACTTCCATGAATCCTCCTAGTGTCCAAAAATAGCGAAACAACAAAACATTTTCGGTCATTTAACGCATATAACGATTTTTCTCTGCCAATTTTAATTTTATATAGGACACTAAGAAAATTATATGAAAAATAAGAACACAAACTTTTATTTAAGAGTAAGGTATTATGATTTTTTTTTCCAAAAAAAATACTAGTGTTAACGTTTAACTGAAACTTACTGATGTTCCGCCTTTAGTTCCACTAAAAGCAGACATAGCCCTGAAGAGTTTCTCAGATTTTATTGAGAGCTCAACTTGGAGATCTTTTGATCCGGGAGATGTCGAACTGTAACATGCCATGTAATCCTTCAGCTTTAGAAAAAAATCCTTAAATTCTGTGGTCTGAGGACATTTGCCTTCCAAGTCACCCATGAAATCCATCATACCTTTGTAAGCGAAAGATTCAAAATCTTGGCCTACTTTGGGAAAATTCTTCAAGTAAAGAGGTAATGAGAATGTCCCTTGTGTTTCATAAACAGTGCTTAATGCAATTAGTAACATTAGATATATCGCTAATGAAAATTTTGCCATTTTATTTTTAAAGAAGTGAAAAGAAGAGATTTCTTTATTTATTTTTATTTTTGATGATTGTGTTTCCTGGGAGAAGTGAATTTATATAGCTGTTTTAAAAGTCTAAATCTAGCTATTAAAGCGAAAAATGGTCCGATAAATTTTCATAAATTTATGGTCATGGAAGAATGTTAAAAAGACTTGCTAAAATTAATATGGCTATTTTTTTCTTCTCTAGATCTACCATTGTATATTTGGTCACCTTTTACGTGAAACTATATTTAGCTAGGGCGTTAGACCAAATTAAATCATCTCCAATTGTGGTGTTAGAGCATCTCCATCAGTGAATCGATGGAGCTCGATTTCCCATGTGACGTTTTTGAACTTTTTTTTCGTTTGACTTTTAAAAAAAAAATTAATAAATCAATCAATCATGGACCGTCACGTGTCGTGGGGTTCACAAAGCAGTGTTGAACTCGTTTCACTGGAGAGAGCTTGCAGGGGACAAGTTTAATAGATTTTATTATTAAAAAATTTTTTTTTGAAAACCGTGTGAACTCCCATTTGAACCTTTGATGAGGGTGGTCTTACCACCATTGGACTCCTTGGTATTATTAAATTATTATTATTTTTTATTTTTTTGTTTGAATAATTAAGAACTCTTTTCAAAATTGTATGTCAAATAGTGTTTTCTAATTTGGAGTTCTTAGGAATGAAAAAATATTGAAGTTTAAAACATATAAAATTAAAAATTTTATTTATTAAATGATTAAATATAAAGATACAATAATTATAAATTTCATCACCAAATTTGTTCCAAATATTTTCAATTAAATCATTTTTCAAACCGAAATACATATATTCACCCCAATGAGACGCTGCCATGTCACTAAGAGCACATCCATCAAAGGTACAAGAAAATTTTATAGGCAAAACTCTCACACTTCCAAAAAAAAATATTATAATAATGCCTCATGATGAACTCCTCTCGCCTGACCTCATCCAGATGAACTAGTTTCATTACTGTTTCGCGGGTCACACGCCACAAGACGGTCCGCGATTAGTTCGATTAACAAAAAAATCAAACGAAAAAAAAATATATCTATATTATTAAAAGAGAAGTACCCATATAAAATACCCCTTAGTTTTCACTTTTATTTACAATAGCATGCCACTGAAATTATTAATTACCCTACCTTATAGGATTCTTTGTCTTTTCACTTTAATTAATGAATTTCCAAAATCAAATGTTTACTAAAAAAAAATTATGGCCATCATAATTAATGAAAATAATTATTTTCATATATACCTTTCGTAATTAAATAAATAAATTCTATAGAAATTGTTTTACTAATTCCATATACATAATAATTAATTCTAATATTAATTAACCTACCTTTTAGGATTTTTTTTTCTTATTAATTATCTAAATATCTTTAAATAGTTAATGAACAATATTTTTTTCAAAGATATATAATTATATTTTTATTATTTATAAGTAATAACTAAAATAAAAGTCACAAAAAGAAACATTTATATAATATATAATACATAGATTAATATAAACATATTATGTTATGTATATTTTTATATTAATAATAGTTCAAGGTAAATTCAGAATAATAAAAGTTAAAAAATTAGAAATATATAGGACCATATATTTTAAATAGTAGATACAATAATTTAGTTATACATTATCATAAAATTTTGATCCATAAAAAAAAA